GTCAGCCTCACACTGTCTTCATTGTTCTGGACCGGTTCTCATGTCGTTCTCATCTTTTAATCGCTGCAGTTATTTAATTCACGAGGAAAACGGAGAGAAAAATCCTTTCCCACGACGTGAACTCACGGAACCAGACTCCATCGGGAAATCGTTAAAGTTAAGGTCGCCTCGCTCGTGCGCACGCGCGTGCACGCGGTCGACTTTACTCGACACCGACATCGCACGAGCTCCCCTGTAAATCGGCGCGCACTGCATCCACCAATCACTGCTCTTAAAAGTCCTTTCAAACCAGATCCCCTTTTAAATCTCATCAACTTACTCCAATACAGCAGACGGACACGCAGTGGAGATGACCGTAAACCAGGTCATTAAAGCCGAGGGTTTACCAAAACCAGGTCTCCGTAGGCAAATTACATTCAAGCTGAATTCACCAAGAAACCCACTTTGTTCTGAAACTGCCACATGTTCGAACTTTACATGTGCATGTTTCCTGCCACGCGCAAGAAGACGTTAAATTGTAACATTTTCTGGGGAGTTTCGTTCAGTAGCAAGTAGCATGTCTGTGGTGAGTAGCAGAGGTCACTGACACAGTTGAACATTCACACACTGAACTCACCTGCAAATGTTCCAGGAATTCTTCTTCTATGTCTTTTTCTCTGTGTCGAATCCGAAAAACGAAAATTAAAAAGTCGTAAGAAAAAACGAAGAAGGGGAAGAACAGAAAGTAGAAAGAGAAAAAGAGACACTTCTTCTCTTCACCGTCTGCCTCTGCTCCGCCACTACTTCCGTGAGCTGCGTCAGGACGTCCGTAGAGGAGGAGCTTCAAAGTCTGGACCAATCAGAGGGCGAGTTCTTCGGCCAGGGGCGGGGCCTTTTCGAAGCCACGTAGGCGTGATTTGTTGGTAAGAGTCACGTGAGACTGATCAGACTCCGAGTCTGAAACTAGTTTTTAATACAACTAAAACTTCTTTTTCAATTCACTGATTTATTTTTCATTGTGATGAAGGAAGTGACTTCATGTACAGTAAAAGTACAAATACCACTGTATAAAATACTCCATTAATCCTGTGTGTCACAGAATACTTCAAGTATCAGAAGTAAAACTAAAAGCAGAGTGGCCTCGTGTTTTATCTCTGATTATATATAATTTAATTTAGAGTTTTTCATCTATAGAAATTATAATTTTTATAGACTGCATCTTATTTTCTGTCATTTTAAATAAACCAATCATACCTCTATAATCCTGAAGGACAACTGAAACACAGCAGCAGCTTTTCAAGGCCTGTTGGATCATCCACAGGAAACCCAGGAGCCTTTTCCAGGACCCTGAAGGAACCCTTTGAACTTTCCTCCTCCAGGACTCTCAGGTCTGGCGCCCTCTGCTGGTCTTCAGTCAAATATTTAAATTGCAGCCGATCGGGGCGTCGCGTAGCGCAGTGGGTTACGCAGGCGCCCCATATATAGAGGCTACAGTCCTCGCTGCAGCTGGCCCCTGGTTCGACTCCCGCATCGGACGGCCCTTTCCTGCGTGTCGTTCCCCCTCTCTCTGTCTCCCCATTTCCTGTCTCTCTACTCTTCCTTTCATTAAAGGCACAAAAAGCCCCCCCCCGCCCCACCCCAAAAAAAAATAAATAAACTAGATAAATAAATTGCAGCCAATCACGGAGCAGTATCACACAGTTTCAGCCAATCAGAAGTCAGTTTAATATTATGTTTTTTTTCATCGTCACTTCACAAACATCAACAGGAAGTCAAGTCACATAGGAAACAGCCAAAAAAAAAATTGGAAGAGTTTCACAATAAAAGCCTTTCTCCACTTTCTCCAGCCAATCAGGTTTTAGAGCAGAAAAGCAAGTTCAGAGAAAAACAGCCAATCAGCATCATCAAATCTGATTTCATTGAGTTGTGTTTGATTTTAAAATGACACCTGATTGGCTGATTTTCTCAACTGACAAAGATACAGTGAAGAAAGACTTTTATTTCGTTAAGATTGAAACAAAAAATTAATTCAACATATATAAATATTTCATCAACATCAACACAGTAACAACATTTATTTACGTTCTCCCCTTCATACGGGGCAGCAAACCAACTTCTCACCTTCAAAATAAAAGTTTTTATATTTTCTGGAGAATTTAGTTTGAGTCAAAAACTACAACACTAAACTAAAAGGTTTCAGCTCTGATCAAAGCTAATGTTGCTAGCCTCCATGTCTCCTTCGTTTGCCCCACCCCTTCTGGTTTTCACCCCGCCCAGATGACTCGTGGCCCCACCCCCTCAGCCGGCCACACGATAGTTAGCATGAAACTCCGGCTGGATGTCACATACACGCCGCAGTAGCTCGCCCAGCACCGCCTCCCGGTTACTGCGGTAGCTGGCCTGGATACGACCCATCCGCTCTGCCGTGTCACGATCCACCTCCACCGCGCTGTTACCATGGGAACCAAGGGCCTGAGGAAGGGGGTCACAGAGAACAGTTTAATATACAGATGTGAACACAGTGACAAGATATTAAAGAATCATCAGGAAGAACAGATACTGTGCAGTTTAAACAAATAAAAATCAAAACACGATGGAGGGAACAGAACAGAAACAAAACATTTAGAATATTTACATTAAATACTTAGAACATTAAAGAGGAAAGAAACTAAATAAAAACATTGATATTAATATATTGGAAAATTATGAAAAATAAATAAACTTAAAAGAAATACTGGTAAAATATTTGGAGAAACATTTTTTTATATACATATATTAATGAAATGTATTGGAAATAGGAGGATGGTGGAAAGTTCTTACGGCCGCCTCCTTGGTCTTGAACTCTTTCTCTCTCTGCAGGCGATACTGTTCGATCTCAGCCTGAGCTTCCTCCTTCGCCTGCTTCAGACGACGGTTCTTACCTGAGGATGAGAGACAGCCACAGTACATGAGAGAGAGAGAGAGAGAGAGAGACCCACAGTTCAGCAGGAGAGAGGAGACACTTGATGAATACAACAGATTCTGTGATTATTATAATTAATATAATATCCATAATATAATTATTATTATTATAGATGTTATTATCTTTCTCTATTATATACTATAATAATAATAATTATTATTATAATAGAACATGAACAGATGAATAATGAGACAAACTTGTTGACTCAGTGACAGATGACACAGGATGTTAATGTGACATTATCATCTGCCTCTGACTGTTTAAATCACTGCTGAACCTTCATGGTATGATATCACAGCTCACCTGGCTGACACAGTCAGGTTCATGGTGTGATGTCACTGAGCTCAGTCAGCATCATCTGTGATGATGATGTAATAATTTGACAAAGAACAAAGATTCTGTCCAGGTGTGTGTGTGTGTGTGTTAATCAGCTGAACTGATTGTATTAAAAGCATTCCACTGCAGACAGATCTGATTCAATCATCTATCCTCTCTCTCTCTCTGATCCTCATACTTTCTGACTATTTATCACATGCCGTGGTCACATGCCGTGGTCACATGATGTGTGACTCAGAACCATCACTGACAGAGAACAGAACTAAACATGAGAATAAATGGAGTAAACATCTAGTTACATTAAGTTTGTTCAGAGGAACAGATGAAATAGTTAAAAAGACAGAGTCAGAATTATAAAAGAAACTGCATTAATTAACTGTGCCTGTAAACTAATCACAGATATTGGTCCTGATTAAACCAAACTCCTTTCACATTCGTGTCAGTCCTGCAGCGGGGCTCTGTCTGTTTACGGACGGCAGCAGAGCGGTGAACCTGTCTGAGAGCCCTCAGTTTACCTGGACAGGTGAGGAAGGGACACCTGACTGTGAGCCGAACTGAACAAGTTGGTGGTCGGTTAACCGGCTCCGGTTTGACTGTGACGTGAGTCAGAGTGACAGCAGCAGCAGAGACTCTGAGCTTTTCAGATGCAGGAGTCTCGCCGTTAACGGCGGCTCTAACCTGCTAACGGGCTAACAGCTAACGGGCCGCAGCGGGCTCGCAGGCCGTTTGTCCTACTCACGTTTGCGGGCCTCTGCCACCTTCTCGGCCGCTCTCTTCTCGGCTTGGAGCAGCTGCTGGATTCCCTGGGATTGGCTCGCCATTTTGGGGGAGAGGAGCTGCGGACAGCGAAGCGGAAACGGAGCAGAGACCGGAGAGATTCACCCAGACGAAGGTCGACGGAGGATCTGTCTTCGCCTCTGGTCAGTCAGCTGATGTCACGTCACGCTGCGGACCGATCACGTGATTTTGTCACGAGGCGCAGGAAGAGGATGAGGAGGAGGAGGAGGAGGAGGAGGCGGTGGTTCTTCTTCTTCTTCTTCTTTGGTCGTTGGCATCATCATGTCTCAGTACCGCCCCCATCTGGTTTCTATAAACCCCTACAGTCTGTCTCTCCTGCACCGTGTCCCAGCAGCTCCTCAGTCCTCCTGGTGTCTCCTCGTCAACATATATATATATATGTGTGTGTATATATATATATATATATATATGTGTGTATATATATAGGTGGATAATGCTGTAATAATAATAATCATCTGTAATATGAGACTCCGTTAGTTTTTAACACACTACATTTATGGATATAAAACATGAGGAGGAGCACAGGAAACTAAACTTCCTTTAACAAAGTACAACAGCTGGTTCTGGGTCAGTTTCATTGTTTTAATTTTATTTATTCAACAAACTGTAAAATAATGATGAAAATGTGTAAAAAAAAAAAGTGTACCTTTTGCCACTGTTGCCATGGTGACTCTAGATTCACCTGTTCACATGGTGAATTGTAGGATGAACTAACTAGGAATAGGAAACATATAGGTTCAGAATCTGGACCTGGACCTGGTCCTGAATCTGTGAGAGGCCTAATGTGTTTTATTCTGAAAAGAGTGAAAACAAAATAAAAGACTTTTCTCTGGCCCGGTAACTGCACGTGACTCGCCTCCTCTGTAAGCGGAAATGACGTTTTCCGCAGCGCTGAGTCAGCTGAACCAGACCGGAAGCAAAACAAACAGCAGGGAGCAGGCGCAGCAGCGTCGTGAGCTCGCGCTGCTGAGGGACGAAAGTTTTACTTCGCTTTTTTATCAAACGTTTGTTTTTTTTTTTGTTTTTTTTCCCCCAGGAAACAGAAGTCACACAGTGACGTCACTGGACAGCTGAGAAACAGCACGAGACTGCGGAACGCGAGACGTGCTCCTGTGTGCTGAACGCGGAAGTCCGGAGAGAAGATCTGAGTTTAACTTCGAGTATAAAGTTTAATGAATTTTATCTCGACAGCGGTTTGAGCTGCAGGTCTGAACCAGCATTCATCTGACACAGGAACATATTGAAAATATTTTGTCTTTGTACATTTTATAAAAACAGCGTTTGCAGGAGAAAAAGTTTGCTATTAGTAACAACAAGCAATGTCGATCAATATTTTCTGTCTCAACAGAAGTTTAACCTGCAGATTATTTCTCTCAGTAACATCAGAAGAAAACAACAGAATCTTTGTGTTGTTAAGTCTCTGTGTCGTTGAATCTTCAGGTTGTTCAATTTTCGTTGTTGTGGAGATGAAGCGGAGTCGGGTGTTGGCGGTGCTGGTGGGCGGAGTCTTCTGTGTCGCAGTGATGACACTGTACCGCATGCTGGAGCTGATGCAGGGGGCCGAGCGTCAGCACCGTGGGGAAACTCCTGGTGGACAGGTGGAGGAAGTGAGTTCTTGTCACATTCTGAAATTATAATTAAAGTTTTTCTCTTCTAGCTTTTTAACAAACCAGTCAAACCCTCTCTGCAGGATTTGTCCCGCCTCCAGCAGAAGATTGACAGGTTGGAGCGTCTCCTTAGTGACAACAACCGTCTGGTTGCTACGCTGCGGGACTCTCTGGTCCACCGAAAAGCATCATGGGAAACCGGTGGGGGAGGATCCAATGTGAGCTCAGACTCCACCCACAGCAGGGTGGACACACCCCCTGGATGCAGATTGGCCGAGGAGATGAAGGACGGAACTGACAGAGTTCAGGTTAGCTTAGCATGCTAACTGTTGCGACTTTTGTCACAGCAGCAATTTGACAAAATAAAACGTGAGTTTCAGACACAGTGATGATGACGACGTGTAGCGTTCAGTAACAAATCAGACTTTCAGGAAATACAAGATATTTTATAGAAAAGCTGAAGTGATATTTTCAAAGACTAAGTGAAAGTGGCAACACAACAGTTTGTAATTTGGTCGAAGGTCGATTCTTTTTACAAAATGTATTTAGAAATTATTTCACTTACAAAAACACAAAAAGTTCGGGAAACAGGAAGTTGTGAAGTGATGCTTTAATCATTGTAGAGGAAGAGGGGGCTGGAAGATGTGTGAAGACTTTAGTTTGTTTTGGTCTTAATGTTGTGTTTCTCTTAGGAAACTTTCATTGGTCGGCCACAACATGACATCATCTGTCTAAACCTTGTCTTTGTGTTTCTGTTACGTGTGTCTCCATCATCCGTCAGCTGCTGGATGTTTACGACCTCCTGCCCTTTGATAACCCAGACGGCGGCGCCTGGAAACAGGGTTTTGAGATCCGTTACCAGGGAAACGAGTGGGATGAGCAGCCGCTGGAAGTTTTTCTGGTTCCACATTCACACAACGACCCGGGTCAGATACACAACGACACCACCACAACACCAGCCTGTGCTTTAACACAGCCTTTAACGTGTGTGTGTGTGTGTGTGTGTGTGTGTGTGTGTGTGTGTGTGTGTGTGTGTGTGTGTTGCAGGTTGGTTAAAAACCTTTGACAGTTATTATCAGGATCAGACGAAACACATCCTCAACAACATGTTGGTCAAACTGACTGAGGACAACAGGTGAGTAAATAAATTAAATATATCTGATTAAATGTATTAAAGTCTTTTTGATTAGTTATTGATGTGTTATTGATCAGTCTCATCAATAGAAATAACTGTTGCTGTGGTGTTTGCTCTTCATCAGGAGGAAGATGATCTGGGCAGAGATCAGTTATTTCTCTAAATGGTGGAATGACATCGACGAGCAGAAGAGAGAGATGGTCAAACGGTGACTCTCACCTCCACATCTGAAACATGCTTCATTATTTTTACTTGTTATTTGTTTCTGAATCTTTTTGTCACAGATTAACTTTCTTTCTCTGATCTGACAACTTTTTCAGCTTCTTTATTTTTCTTTTCATTTTTATCTAACATCCATCTTTATATTTATATATTTGTATTTTATATCTTTATATTTATATGTCTATATATTTATAATTATCTTTACATTTTATATATTTTTGTAGTTTTATCTATATATTTATACATCTTTATATATTTTTACATTTTAAATCTTTATATTTATATATATAACTTTTTATCTTTGTATCTCTACATTTCTCTGTATTTCTATATTTGATCACATGTATCTGTCGTTTTAATTGGCTGTTTGTTTCATTGTTTGATTGGTTCCTTTTTCAGCCTGGTGGGGGCGGGGCAGCTGGAGCTGGTGACGGGCGGCTGGGTGATGGCGGACGAAGCGAACTCTCATTACTTCGCTCTGTTGGATCAGCTGATCGAGGGACACCAGTGGATCCAGAGACACCTGGGTTTGTGTTGTTTAGCTTCACCTCCTTCACCTGCTGGCTTCCTTGATCTTTACACTTTGTTTCTCTGAGCAGGTGTAAAGCCCCGCAGTGGCTGGGCTGTGGATCCTTTTGGCCACTCCCCCTCTATGACCTACCTGCTGAAGGGAGCGGGGCTTAGCAACATGGTCATCCAACGTGTTCACTACGCCGTCAAGAAACACTTTGCCCGGCAACAGACGCTTGAGTTTCAATGGCGACAGAACTGGGGTGAGTGGCGGGAAAGGTAGATGTTTGAACACAGTGACAAAGACAGTTCCAGCTGTTACATGACGGACAGTAACAATACAGCTGTGAAAAGAGAGAAAACAGAATTAAAATCAAATTAATGAAATAATGTTTTTTAATCAGGTTTAAAATAAATCCAGTTTAAAAAAGTCAAGACAACAGTTCACTCAACTAAAACTAAAGTAAATATAATGAATTAATTTCTTAATTAATTCAATTTAAAAGATTAAAGAGTTGACAGATTAATATTCACTTTGAACTGAAACAACAAAACAGAAGAAATGAATGATCAGACATTTCTGAGCTGATGATGAGGTTTATGTGACGGGTCATAATGCATTCATTCATTCATTCATTCATATAACATGAAAACAAGACTAAGACTTTATTAAATAATAATAATAATAATGATCCTTTCATTTTCTTTTGGGTAAAATATGGAAAACAGTGACAAACTGCTTTGTTTCTCTAACCCCGCCCACTTCCTGTGTCAGACTCCTCCCCTCGCAGTGACATCACATGTCACATGATGCCGTTCTACAGCTACGACGTGCCGCACACATGCGGCCCGAACCCGGCAGTCTGTTGTCAGTTCGACTTTCACCGCCTGCCGGGGGGGCGGGTCTTCTGTCCGTGGAGGACCTCGCCACAGCCAATCACAGATCAGAACGTCCAGGAGCGGTAGGCAGGGGGCAGGGCCAACAATAACGAAAATAACCTGATTAATTAATGATTAATGATCACTTTGATAGTTGATGATAAGAATAATTAAAAAGGTTTCACAGTGAGTCATTCTGTCAAAACTCTTATTGTGAAAGAACAGAGCGTCACTCAGGTGTGTGATGCTGCTCTGTGTGTCCTCTCAGCGCTCTCCTCCTATTGGACCAGTACAGGCAGAAGTCTCGTCTCTTCCGTTCTCCAGTGCTCCTCGTTCCCCTCGGCGATGACTTTCGGTTCGTGGACTCGAGCGAGTGGGACGCTCAGTTCAGCAACTACCAGAGACTGTTTGACTTCTTCCAGGATCACCCAGAGCTGCACGTCCAGGTGGGCCGGACACACGAGGGAGCAGGGCCAGAGGGGCGGGGCCAGGAGGGCAGCCACCTCAGACACACACTCTGAGTGTCACTCATTAGTGTCAGTCAGTCTCAGTGTGAACATACGACCTCATGACTCCTCCTCTCCTTCTTCCTGTTTCAGGCGCGTTTCGGGACTCTGTCAGATTACTTCGATGCTCTACAGCGGCGTCTGAGTGCCACAGCAACGTCTCTGCCGACACTTCGCGGCGACTTCTTCACCTACGCCGACCGTGACGACCATTACTGGAGCGGCTACTTCACCTCCAGACCCTTCTACAAACGGCTGGACAGGACGCTGGAGGCCACGCTCAGGTAGCTCCGCCCACTCATTACATAAGGTTCAGGTACATGATCAGAACCAATGGAACAGCAGGTCAGATCATAAACGTTTCTTTAAATCTGTTTTATTTTTGTTTTGTTTTTTAAATTTTTTTCTTCAAGTTTTTCATCTGTTTTTATTTTCATTTAAATTTTCTTTACATGGGGCGTCGTGTGGCGTCGTGGTCTAAGCAGGCGCCCCATATGTAGAGGCTACAGTCCTCGCTGCAGTCGGCCCCGGTTCGAGTCCCGCATCGGACGGCCATTTACTGCATGTCATTCCCCCTCTCTCTGCCTCGCCATTTCCTGTCTCTCTACTGTGTGCTATCAAATAAAGGCATAAAAGCCCCAAAAAATATACTTTGACATTTTCTTTACATTTGAAATGTTTTCTCGTCCTCACAGAGCGACCGAAATCCTCTTCAGCCTGACGCTAGCTGAAATGCGTCGTTTCCGTGGCGACGGTCATCTGGTTGCAGGTTTTCCTGCACAAGAACACTTCCAGCGTCTGACAGCAGGAAGGCGGAGTCTTGCACTTTTTCAGCATCACGACGCCGTCACCGGCACCGCCCGCGACCCCGTGGTGGTAGACTACGGCACCAGGTAGCTACTTACTGTTAGGACACTAGCAATTTAGCCTGTTAGCTTGTTGCTGTTTTCAGGGGTTAAGAAAGATGTTCTTTTGAAAGTTGAATGCTTGGACATTAGTTTGTTTGTTAGCATCAGTTAGCATTTTAGCCTAAATCATGGCTCACAGAATAACAGGTAACAAATCAGTGTTAGCACTGTTAGCTCATGGAATTGCTACATCTTTAGCATTAGCTTGCTTTTGTCTCATTTATTCCTCCATGCTCTCTGTTGAAGGACGCCGTCGTCAGTGGCAACGGTATCAGGTACCGCTTCATTTAATGTGAGCAGTTAGCATTTAGCTTTTAGCATTAGCCTCCCCTCATACCCATTCATTTAGCATTAGCATCTAACATCAATTTCCCATCACTCCCATTCATATTGTTTACATTGTTTCACAGTGTCGTATGTTTGTTTTTTTAAATAAAGTTTTTTAGTCTCATAGAAATAAAAAGTTTGAACTGAAATAAAGTTTTTTTACAGGTTGTTTCATTCCATCCTGAACCTGCGAAAGGTGCTGCAGAGCTCCGCCCACTGGCTGCTCCTATTGGACAAGAGCCTGTACCACCACGACCAATCGAAACCTTTCCTGCAAATGGTGACCTCTGACCCCATCTGCTGTTTGACCTTGTTGTAGGCTTGATTGTTTTGTACAATTTGAAGATGTGACATCACACACGTGCTTTACTGTGATTGGTTGAAGAGTTTTAGAGCTCTGAGGTTAATCATGTGATCTTTCTTCAGGATGATGTCATCTCAGCTCAGGACGCACTGCCTCAGAAGACACCGCTCACGCTCAGTGATGATCCCAGGTAAGGGGCGGGGCTTAGACAAGGAAGAGGTGGGACCAGATCAGAAGATAATAAATAAAATAAAATGTTCATCAGAGTTTGACTTTTTATGAAATGATGGTTTTAGTTCCAGAACAGAAAACGTTAAAACTCAGTTGTGATCAGTTTCTGATGATGGTGTTTGATTGTTGATTGTTTGGTGTCTCAGGTCATTGATCATCTTTAACCCGACGGAGCAGCTCCAAACGTCCGTCATCAGCGTCGTCGTCGACTCTCCGGACGCTCGAGTTGTTGATGCAGAAACGGGTCAACCAATTGCTTCGCAGATCTCTGCGGTGTGGGCGGAGCCAAGCAGAGCGTCCACAGAGTCGTTCCAGGTGGAGAACAGATCAGTCGTTAATTACTTTGATCAGTTTAAATCGGTTTTCCTTCATGTCACATTCTGTTTCTCCAGCTCTCCTTCCTGGCTCAACTTCCTCCTCTGTCACTGCTCGTCTGTCATGTGACCAAAGCCTCGGCTGGCTCCGCCCACCGGGCGAGCTACACCTTCTATCGTCGTGGCAACCCGCCGACCGTCCACACCGAACACTTCCAGGTGTCCCTCCCCCAGGGACCTGAGGCCAACGCCCCACTGTCGCTTAGCAACAAGCATTTCCAAATATGGAGTTCCCCGGAAACAGGCCTGTTGCAGGTCAGACTTTTCAAATTAAAAGTCTGTCCATAAGAGGGAAAAATAACTACACTCCCAGAACTCTGAGGTCTGAGGTCTCTGGTCTGTTTTGTTTTTGTCATTTATTCTTTCTTTGACCTCAGGTCTCAGGTCTCTGGTCTCTGGTCTCTGGTCTGAGGTCTCTGGTCTCAGGTCTCAGGTCTCAGGTCTCAGGTCTCTGGTCTCTGGTCTCTGGTCTGAGGTCTCTGGTCTCAGGTCTGAGGTCTGAGGTCTCTGGTCTGTTTTGTTTTTGTCATTTATTCTTTCTTTGACCTCAGGTCTCTGGTCTGAGGTCTGAGGTCTGAGGTCTCAGGTCTCAGGTCTCTGGTCTGAGGTCTGAGGTCTCAGGTCTCTGGTCTCTGGTCTGAGGTCTCAGGTCTCAGGTCTCTGGTCTGAGGTCTGAGGTCTGAGGTCTGAGGTCTCTGGTCTCAGGTCTGAGGTCTGAGGTCTCTGGTCTCAGGTCTCTGGTCTCTGGTCTGAGGTCTGAGGTCTCAGGTCTCTGGTCTGAGGTCTCTGGTCTCAGGTCTGAGGTCTCTGGTCTCAGGTCTCTGGTCTCTGGTCTCAGGTCTCAGGTTTCAGTTCTCAGGTCTCAGGTCTGACGTCTGTGGTGGTCTACAGAGTCCAGATCCTAACTACAATCATATTAATGATATCTTTTATTTTGAAATTCAGAAGCTCCGTCTGCAGTCCGGTCTAGTCCGTCAGGTCCAGGTCCAGTTCCTGTGGTACGGAACCAGAGTCGGAGGGAATCGGGAGAAGAGTGGAGCCTACCTGTTCCTGCCAGGGGAAGAGGGGGCCAAGGTAAGACCAGGACCAGGACTCAGACCACATCAGTCTGAACCAGATCAGTGAGCCCAGGACTAAATGTCTCAGATTCATTGTGAATGTCTCTCGCTCCCCTGCAGCTCTACTCGTCCTCAGAGCCCCCCCTGGTGCGGGTCTCCAGAGGTCCCATCTTCTCTGACATCACTTCCTGTTTCCGACACTTCACGCACACGGTCCGCCTCTACCACCTGGACGGTAACGGGACTTTAACCCTTCATTAACCTTCTCAGATAAGGTGACCACTCATGTGACCCTTCAGTGGAGGCTCATGATCAGGTCACCGTGAACATGAGCTCAAACACAGCTAAATAACATTTATTGATCCTGTATGTGTGTGACAGCAGTAACAGTAACATCTGTGGCAGCAGATAGTGGAGGTGGCTACTTCCTGTTAGCACACAGCATGTTAGCCTGTTAGCTTTTTTGTTTTTCTGTTGTTCTTTTGTTAAAGAAAGACGTTCTGGTGAAAGTTTAATGCTGGGACATTAGTTTGAAAGTAAGTTTGTTAACACGAGTTAGCATGTTAGCGTAAATCAAGGCTCACAGAAAAAGAAAGATAACAAATCAGTAACAGTAATCACTGTTAGCACATGGAACAGCTACAGCTTTAGCGTTAGCATGTTTTTGTTTTGTTTTTGTCATTTATTCTTTCTTTGACCTCATGATGTTTTCCATCAAGGAGACGTGGTTAAAGAGGAGATTAACCTCAGCCAGTGATCGGACACTTCCTGTCAGGGAGCCTGCAGACGCTGTTCAGGGCAGCAGCTGCAGGACGTTAGTGTGTGTTAAAGTATAATTATAATTATTTCCTATAGATAAATATGAATCAGTGAAAGAGTGGTAGGTGTACTCTGGTACACTGTGACATCACTGTTGGGCGTGGTGACAGGTGTGCTGTCTCACCTGTGCGCTCACTGAAGGTTACCTATCCTCTTCATTTTCACCTGTTGAGTTTTTCTTTGTCTCACATCAAAGTCTTTTTTATTATTTCATCCTCACGTTCATGGAGATTATTTGTCTTTATATTTATTTATTTATTTTATTTAAATCAATTTATTTTAATTAAGGTTAATACTGATGACTAATGATTTCACAATAAAAATCTCCTGTCTCTCTCTGCCCCAGGGCATGCTGGGAGGTCCCTGGAGATTTCCAATATGGTGGATATCAGGTCAGAGGTCAACCGTGAGCTCGTCATGCGGCTCGTCAGCAACGTCGACAACGGCAACCGTTTCTACACCGACCTCAACGGTTTCCAGGTCTCTACTGTTTAATCAGGCCAATCAGGTCGTTTGGTTCTGTGCCTGTTAGTGTGTATTGATAGGGTATTGATTATTGATTGGTTACAGATGCAGCAGAGGCGGACCCTGGCGAAGCTCCCACTGCAGGCGAACTTTTACCCGATGAGCTCGGCGGCGTTTCTCCAGGACTCGACGTCTCGTCTGTCGCTGCTGTCGGCTCAGAGTCAGGGCGTCGCCTCGCTCAGACCAGGTGATCAATCAGGATTAGGATCAGGATCAGTCATGATCAGTATCAATCAGGATCAGGATTGATCATCATAAAAATTCAAGCACTTTCAATGATCAGTGTCTATTTTCAAAAACCTTCAAGAGCCTGAAGAAACACCTGTGTTCTGAAGAAGGTTCAATGTTTTAAACTCGCTTCATACACCAGAAGAAGACCTGAACGTCTCAGTGTTGACCTCTGACCCCTGACCTCTGACCTCTTCAGGTGAGCTGGAGGTGGTGTTGGACCGGCGGCTGCAGCAGGATGATAACCGTGGCCTCGGTCAGGGCGTCACTGACAACAAGCTGACAGCCAGTCTCTACCACCTGCTTCTGGAGGACAGGAGGGGCGGGGCTCAGGTGAGGGGGTGGGGCCTCTACTTCCCTCACTGTCAGAGAACCAGGCTGTTATGTCTGATTTCACCTGTTAATACAAACGTTAGGACGTGGTCTGAGACCAGGACCTGAATCTGAGTTATTACAGAGAACTTAAAGGACATAAAGTGTTCTGAATGTTCTCGTGTTCCACCGTCTGAGAACGTCTGAGGAACCAGATCTTTTATTTTGTATTTTTTCTCACAGGAAGTGGGCGGAGCCCCGGTTGAACATCTGTCACTGCTCGCTCACCTGACCTCACTCTCCCTCAGCCACCCGCCAGTCATCATGGTTGCCCGTAGCGACAGCCAGCTGCCGAAGCTCTGCCCATTCCGGCCGCTCCGCTCGTCGCTGCCGTGTGACATTCATCTGCTGAACCTGAGGACGCTGGAGGATGCACAGGTGAGGACCACACCTGGAAACACCTGGAACATTAATGCAGTTTTTAACTCAGTGGTTGTAAAACAGAGAGTGATGCATTCTGGGATGTCTGTGGTCTTGTGTTGTTAAGATAGCAAGTTTTCAGACTGAAAATTAGAGATTAGAGATACTCCATCAGTACAAGAGTACAGTGTCACAGTAAAAGCACTTCCTGTATTTAGAGTATCACAGTAAAAGCACTTCCTGTAGCCACAGCACCACAGAAAAGAAAATTAAAATATAATAAAAGTGAATAAAATCAGTGACAAGTTGTTGTACATTCTAATCAATAAATTTTTATTTGTGTTTGTGGGAAACAGGAAGCAGGAAGTCCGTCACAGGAAGTGGCTCTCCTCCTCCACAGGAAGGGCTTTGACTGTAGCTCCGCCCCTGAGCCGCTGCCTCCGTGCACGTGGAGCGCACATGAGGAGGTACGCACACATCATGGATTTAAATCGACAGGATTGTTTAGTTTTATTTTCTGGTCTTTTGGATCCTGTTTCTCGTCTTTTTTACTTCCTGTTAAATTCTGTCGTTTCTCGTCTTTTGTCCAGATTTTTTTCCTGATCTTTTGTCGTGTTGTTTTTCTGTTTCCAGGTGAATCTCGACGCTCTTTTCTCTCCTCTTCAGTTCAGATCTGTCCGTCAGTCCGGCCTCACTCTGCTGCACCAGGACGACGAGCCTGAGTCCGCCCGGCAACAGCGACCATGCATCACCCGCCTGCGGCCAATGGAAATCAGCGCATACCGTGTGGAGTTCGAGTGACAAACAGGAAGGAAGAAAATCTGTTTCACTCTTTAGGCCAGAAACTGATTCTGCAGATCAACATGTCAGAAGATAAAAATAAAAGACAGGTTATTAAGAAATATTAGAAAAAGTGGAAATAAACATAAATAATGAAATTAGCTGAAGCTCTGCAGAAATATTATCAATAAAAAATAATCCTGTTAAAGATGAAAGTATATTAATGAACATGGAGCAGTGAAATACTGAAGAGACAAATTCTACTTTTATAAATTCATAAAGTTTAGAACATTTATAAAGGGACAAACAGAAAACAGGAAGCAGGATGACCAGCAGGGTCAAAGGTCAACAGAATGTGACGACATTCACACAATGAAATGAATATCTACATAACCGATCAATGATCAATGAGTCCGTTTCTAAAAATGTGAATATTTTCTTCAGTTTTCTATCAATAATGAAAATAATAGACTGAGAGTGGGTGAAAGGTCGGTGAGCCTAAAGGTTAAAGGTCGAACACAGAAATTTAAATGAAGAAAATAAACCTTGAGGTGTATTTTAAACAGGTTGCTATGGCAACAAAAAGGGACCAATTGTGTCGTTAGCTCAGTGTTGGATGAATGTTGTTAAATGAATGTGTGTGTTTCCATGGTTACTGTCAATCACAGTTTGTGCTGGGAATCTGTTACTGCTGTTTTTTTAATGACATGTAGTTTTTGTTTTTTTATACCTGAGTGTGGGATTGTGGGTAAATGTGTTGATTTAGTCTTGATCTGTTGATGTGTGACACTGGAGCTTCAGGTCAGTGTGATTGTGTAATTTATTACAGGAATGTTTCTGCACAGATTCACTTGTTTAGATTTTTTAATTAATTTTTTATATTTGCTGTGAAGGGGAAAGTTTAAGGGAATTCTGGGAAATTATTAAATCATCTGGTTATTTTTTTTAATTGAGAAATTCTCTATATTTTCTGTAAACATCTCTGGCTGAAAGATGGATATTTAAAACATAAAGAGCTGAAAAATGCTTTTTTATTTCCATGAGTTTGTTTTGTTGTTTTTCACAGTTTATATTCATTCAACATTAATGAGTGATTAATGAATCATTAATGAATCAACCTCCAGACTGAAACCAGCAGCTGCAGTTCCTCTAACGACCACTAGAGTCTGGCTCCAACAGTGAGTCAGTCCCCATAGACTCCCATGTTAAAATGTCCAACTTTACAGCAGAAATAAACATGTTTACAGCCTGGTACAAAAACTGATTTGGTCTCTAGAGCTAATTTCCTCCTTCATGACACCTGTTTATATAACTCACCTGTTTACATTTGATTAAGGACTACAGTTATGGAGGATTGAGGGCATGGTTATGACATCAGGCTGATTTCCTGCCTCCAGGGTCGAAGGTCACATCAGAAGGAGAAAGTTTGACCGTCAACGAGCTCAGTACGACATTACAGTGAAGCAGACTGCACCTGGTTCTACTTCCTGCTCCAGCAGGACTGAGATCTGAGGAGGCCGAGTAGCGTTTGCTTCGTCAACCTGAGTTTCTGGTTTTAAATAAACCGGGATCTTCTTCCTCTGCAGGTCTCTGAACGTCTGTGCCTGATAAACATGACATGGGTTAAAGATGGCGCTCGTATGAGGGAGAAAAAATAATGATTTGATCATGTGAGGTCAACTCTGTTTCAAATATTAACAGATGGAAGAAAGAACTGGAGCCACTCATGAGAATGACAGGAGCTGTTTGTCTATGAAACTGATGTCTCAGTGCTGTATCAACATGACACACGTTTAAGCAGCTTTTGTTCTTCGATATTTAAAAGAAGAAGAAAAGGTCAAACCTAAGATCATAGATGAACTGTTCCCGCCATGACACACGTCTGATGACTCATACTAGGACATGTTATATGTATGTTGGCCGCTCACTTGCTTATTTATTTTATTTAGTTTTTATTTGTCAGTAACGTGAGAGCCACTATGTGGCCTCTGAACAAAGTTATTGTTGGTTTCTTTCATTCTTTCAGAATAAAAGCAACCTGTTTCTTTAATATGGCCGTGCTCAGTCCGGTGGGATTCATGCTGCAACAATAGCAGTACTCTATAGAGCTGTGTGTGTGTGCGTGCGTGCATGTGCGTGCGTGCGTGCGCGTGCGTGCGTGCGCGTGCGTGCGTGCGTGTGTGTGTGTGTGTGTGCGTGTGTGTGTGTGGGGTCACGTGATTTCAGAGAAGTTGTGTGACTTCAAGAGTGAAACAGAAAGTGTGCAGTGCTCCTTCGCGCTCTCCTCAACAGTCAGTCTCTGAGTCCTCTCCTCGTCCTGACGGTTCACTGTGAATCAGCCTGATACAGGTAAGACATGATGGATGGTTAACAAGACTGACTGACTGACTGACTGACTGACTGGTGACTGACTGACTGACTGACTGGTGACTGACTGACTGACTGACTGACTGACTGACTGACTTTTCTCTTTTCTTCTGTTTCTATAAAGAAAGTCAAACAGCCTTTAAACAGTCAGCATGTTTCCGACTGCTGTCCCTGTGATGCTGAGACAAACTGTTGTCCAGGGAAACGTGCCATCTCTGGTGGAGGACACATGGATATTAACACTAACACCTGCTCCACTTCCTGTCTCCAAACAGCCCATGCAGACAGGAAGTGGAGAGAGAGAGAGAGAGAGAGAGAGACTATGACATGACACACACCTGCCATTAAATCATCTGCTGGTTAAAGACATGAGTTCATGTTTCAGATCATCAGGTTCACATGGTTCTGGGTCATTACTGTCACGTCACGTACCAACCCTCCACGTACACGCCAGGGGTCCTGGTCTGTACTGGTCTGTATCAGTTTGACTGAGGTGCTGTAAAAAAGAATTTCATATTTGAAATGATGTTTATATAATAATGTAGGTTATATATGTGTGTGTGTGTATATATATACATATATATATATATATTAGTATCGTGAGTATAGTAAGTATATATATATATATATATAAATATTGCGATTTCTTCATGAAGGAGGTTTTGAGGTTTTTGATGTGAGATTTTAGAAATGTATTTAAAGCTCAATATTTTACTCTCTCCTGTGTTTTATTTGAAGTGTCAACAATAATATTAATAATTATAGTAATAACTTTTTTTATATGGCACTTTTCTTACAAAGTTACAAAGTGATTTACAAGAAAAGATTAAAATCAGATCAAAGAAAAATCCAAAGTTAAAATAAATAAAAACATCTCCAATCCACATTATGTCAAAAGATCTGACAGGAAGTGAAGAGAGTCAATAAAATATGTAAAAAAAAACATAATTATGGATAAAATAATAAACTGAAAATGTATTAAACATCATCCAAAGGTGAGAGGGAGAGATGTGCTGTAAGAAGAGATTTAAAGGAAGTTAAAGAGTCACAGTGTCTGAGATCAGAGTGGGGGGGCTCTAACAGTGAACACCTGGTCGCCCTCAGTCACAAGCCTTGACCCTGGGGGGGCAGCAAACCTCCCTCAGCTGATCTCAGGTCTCTGTTGGAGACATCAACAAATCAGATGTAATGGGAGGCGGAGCCATTTAAAACCTTAAAAGTCAGAAATAATCTGAAATCTAACGGCGCCAATGAAGAGAGGCGAGCAGAGTCAGGTGACTGTACCTGTGAGTTCAGGTGGAGGGAGGGCACGCATGCACACACACACACACACACACACACACACACACACACACACACACACACACACACACACACACACACACACACACACATTCTCACTATAGAAACTGATGCTTGTGAGGAGCTACAGTGTCTCTGAGGTGATTCACATCATCATCATCATCCTCAGTGTCCTGTGAGCTGTGTGAGTGTACTGAGAGCACAAGATGTCTCTGATGACTGTGTCCGTCTCCTTGGTTACAGTTGGTGACCTGAACATCAGCTGACTGAAGATTCACAGTCAGAACCAGAAGCTCAGAGTTCAGGCTGTTCACCTGGACCACACCTGCAGATCTGAAGATGGCCTCACCAACAAGAAGAAGAATGAGCAGAGAGCTGCCTCCTGATCTGTCTGAGTTAATGGACGCACTAATTAAATATGCAACTTCATTCATCAAAGACTTTGACAGCAGTGAGAACAGGATGAGACAGATTGTCAGACAGTTTCAGGTGATCGCTGCTGAGGTGAGAAAGATGCAGGAGAAAACAGATGGAGTCAGAACAGGAGGAGCTGTTACTGGAGGAGTAGCCCTCGGTGCCGGGATCCTTTTTGCTCCATTCACTGGAGGAGCAAGCTTATTATTAGGAGGAGCAGCAGCTGTTGTTGGTGCAAATATAACAAAAGTTTGGAAAGAGAGTGGAAGTGCAGAGGAAGTAGAAAAGCTGGGGAGAGAATTCATGAAGATAGTTGAACCAATGAAGAAGAAGCTGGAAGAAATACAGACCACATGTAAAAAGCTGGAGGAAAAATCATTTGAAGTTCAGGCTGAAAAAACTCTAAGAGACATGACGGAATTCAACATGATCCTGACACTAATATCTGAACTGAGAAAAAAGAGTGAAGGAGTTTTGGAGATACTTGTAGCAGCGTTTACTTCAATAGATGGTCTGTTGCGTCTCATTGTGGCTGTCTTCAGAATCACTGCGACCCCTAAGCAGGATAAAGAGTTGAGAGACGCCATCATCCAGTCAGCTGATCGGTGTAGTCAGGTCACTGATGAGTTTGATAAGATGAAGAAGAAACTCAGACAGTTATTAGAACAGTAAAGAGACAAACATCAAGAAACACCTGGCGTTGGTGATGTCAGAGTCCCCACCCCACCAGGAAGTAACAACTCACCTCACAACCGCCATCTTGTTTTCCTTGTTTAAGCTGTGTGGTAACAGCAACCATTTTGAATAAGCCATTTTGTTTTTGTTTATGTTCCCACACACACACGCTCGCACGCACGCTCACACGCACACACACACCTGTATATACTTTGAATGCAACATTCATTTGGAGCGACAAGAACTGCCTCCTTCTGAACACCTGAGACCAAGGAGATGGTCATGGACTTTGGGAGGTCTCTGCCCTTCAGCCAGTCAGCATTCGAGGGAAGGACATTGAGGCGGTGCACACTTATAAATACCTAGGTGTGCACCTGAACAGTAAACTGGACTGGTTCCTGAACACAGATGCCATCTACCTGAAGGGGCGGAGCCGGCTCTTTTTCCTCAGGAGGCTCAGGTCCTTTGACGTCTGCAGTGAAATGCTGCACATGTTCTATCAGTCAGTGGCCAGTGAACTCTTTAATGCTGCAGTCTGCTGGAGAAGCAGCATGTCAGACATGAACACAAAGAGACTGGACCAGCTGGTCAAAGAGGCTGCGTCTGTGCTGCAGGAGTCTGGACTCACTCAGGACTGTTGTGGAGAGACACATGCAATGTAAGATCTTGGACAATACCAACCATCCTCTCCACAACATTCTGGCAGGACAGAGAAGCAGCTGCAGCTGCAGCAAACGTCTCATCTCACTGTGCTGCAGAACAGAGAGGTTCAGGAGATCCTTTGTTCCCACTGCCATCAGGCTGTAAGGAAGTGGACTCATCTAATTATTATTGTTTATTTGTTATTAACTGTTTTTATTATTATTATTATTATCAACAATGATCTAATGGACACATGAGTTTCCCCTAGGGGATAAATAAAGTATGTATCTATCTATCTATCTACTTTTACCATCCTTGTAAATAAAAGTCTTTCAGTGTATCTTCTGGTGTGAATACTGTTAAATTCAGAAGAACTTTAGTAGCTTTAGTTAATATTAATAATTTGAGACTGAACCAACATTATCCTCTCCTGTTTCAGGATGATGCAACTGAAGAACTTTAATTCATTTTAAAGTTACTAATTAATATTAATATTTTTATCATCGATATTTTATTAGTTTATGATAGCCAATCATTTAATTAACTGATTAACTGATAAAACTGGATAAAAGTCAATGTTGAGCGTCTGTCAGACAAACACACTGACACATGACCATAGAGGAGATGATGTCATCAAC